CCGATCTCCCCAAAACCCCAAAACCCCTTTATACCAGATTGATAGAATTTGATTGAATATTATCTTAGTAAAATTAAATTAGCAATAATCTTTAAAATAGTAAATATAGGTTGGTTTTATGCTAGGTGATAGATTTATACTCTCAATTAAATCTCTATCTTTTATAATTCTTGACCTACACTGCATCATTGAATCTGGCAGAAAATTGTTACTACTGGAAAATCTATTATGATATTCTTCTATGCTGGTGCACATTTATTTCTTACTAGTCCTCTCGCTTTGAACTTAAAGGTCTCTTCTTAAGATTTGATTAGTTGGTTTCAGACTAAGTGTCAGAATTCTTCTAAGTAATCTACACCTAATATTTGAGAAGTTGATCTCTTGCTTAACTCCGATTTCGCTTTTTATTATAGTTAAACTTATTACTTTATCTTTCTAGTTCTTATTTTCTTGGGGATGGTACTTTAAACTCATTGTTTGAAAAGCTTGAAGACAAAGCACTTGAATTTAATTTCCAGTTTCTTTTCAATTCTGATTTACTTTGTCCAATGTTTAATTAAGGTTCATTCGGTGCTAGCGTTGCAACTAACGATGGAGTTAGCAAAGATTGAGCATTTCCAAAGGTAAGCCTCTTAGAGAATGCATTATCAGGTTTCGAATTATTCGAGGATGCAGTGCTTTTAGTAAATACAGATCTTGAATTATTCTTCTTATTGCTTCCTAATATAGGAGAAAATGTCAATTTTTTTGAGCTAAGTTTTGCTTGATTATGTTAAAGTGACTAATTATCGAACAGATTTTCTATCCTATAATTCTTTACTTTTTCATTATTTTTTTATTCATTTTAAATTTAGCTGACATCTTCTATTTACATCAACGAAAGATCTTTTATTTTGTTCTACACTTCTAATAGCATTTATAGTACATTATCAGAATTACTCTTCTATATAGATTCATTGATTTGATCAGACTTAAATTATTTTCTTGGAACATGTGGCTTTAGATTTAAATCGCTCGATTTGAAAACCTTTATATTTTTCAAAGATTTCTCAATATTCCTGCATTTCTCACAACTCCACTCTTTACTGTTAGAATACCTTTCTAAGACTTAAAGGAAGTCTTGAACATGTCCACAAGTCATCAGATAGCATGGAAATTTAAAATCTATTTTGTCTTTGAAACTTTATTTGTCATTTTGCGAATTAATCTAGACTGCTTGATCTTTATTTTCGGAATATGAGGGTTAAGGCAGATATAACTGCAGCTTATGAATGTCCTCTTTAGTCCTCCTTGATAGTTTATCTTCTAAAATATCGAAAAATGTAAGATTCACAGTTCTAGCAAGTTAGTCATCAAGATTCAAAGATTTTCTAGGAGTACTTTAAGATTCTGTAGTCTGCTCAACTGACATGCACTATTAAATGAGATATTATATTTAAAATCAATTAATAACTTTAGTATTATTAATTATTTAATTGGTAAATTTTATTAATGTATTCCACTATCCCGACTAAAAATCGTATTTAAACCTATGTAAATACCCACTATGATGACAAACCAAGTTATAATTCTGATGACAGCTCAGCTTAGGAAGCTTAAAGCATTGGTTCATTCACTGCAAATATTGCTTCTAAGTAAGTGATAAATTTGATGAGAAGATCTTAAGCTTTAGTTTATTTAGATTGTTTAGCAGATCAAGTCAAAATAAAGATGATGATGTTGATGAGGATAGCTAATAAGAATAGGAAAGAAGCTATTCTTACACCAGAGCAAAGATTCATAAGATTTATGAAATTAAGAAGAAACTAGATCAAAGGAAGAATAAGGATTTTAATGAGAATTTGGTCAATGATAGAACCCATTTCAAATAGTAGATAAGCAAGGGCACAAAACAATAAACTACCGCTCAGTCGAGTTTTGGCTAAAAATTAAATAATCAGACTAGTTCCTCAATATCACTAAGTAAAACTCCCTAATAAACAATTCGAGCCTAAAATCTTCCTATCAATACTAATTATCACTAAATAAACAACCCTGAAACAGATATTGATATGCGATTAGAGGAGTAGGTATGTCAAGACTCACTTGCTAATTATTCTAGAGAATAATAAGAGTTTATACATTCTAACATTCATGCAATCGATAGAGATTAAGACATGATGGAAGAATAATATATTCCTTAGCAAGAGTATCAATTGATTGCAAAAAGTCCTATTAGAAACAAAGCTGATTAAAATGGTTAGTTAGTTTAAGTGAAAAGTAGCCCTGAAAAAATTAGACAAGAAAGGTCATTAAAATCTTCTTTTTCATCAAAAGACCATGAAGATGATTTTCCTAAGAACAGCAAATCATATCAATATTACAACAATAAATTTGATTCCAAATGTGATCCTGAGAATATGCCTTTTATCTTGAACAGATATCTTTATCTAGCAACAAGATTTTTCTTGGTTGCAATAATCCTTTATTTATCAACTTCTTTTGTAAGAATACTTATTCTGTTTATAGCTTTAGATTTTTTAAGTAAAAGAAGACTTATATCATAAAATGAAGACTGAAAATGATCAAATCACTTATGAGATTTAATAATGTAGAATAGATTATCATGAAAACAAATGCAATCCTTCAACTAGAGTAAGAGCATTAGAGTAGTTCTGCTAAGATAAAGAAGTGTGTATGAACAGAGATCCCTAACTAATTAATAAAAACACCAAGATAATGGTCAAACTACTTGCAGAAATTATCAATGACTTTTTTGAGCCTCTAACTTACAAGACTATGGCATTTATGCTGTTAAGTGGATTGTGCATCTTTATGTTCTCAGAATGTCTTGGAAGGAGAACTATCAGGTAACAGCCTCATTAACAATAATCTTAAGTCTCTTGATTAACATATAATCCAAAAAGAATGTTTGAAAATAAAGTTAATCAGTCTCATTAATTTATTTAAAAAGCCTTGCCTATTACATATACTATAGACTTGACGGGGTTTTGGGGTTTTGGGGTTTTGGGG